AAATTTACACACACACACACAGGGTGGGAAATGTACTTATACACACACAACACACTGACAACAAGAGACTGAAAAACAGCTTCTATCACCTACGCCTAGTACCCTGCCCTGAACCTTAGTCACTGTTCTAGCCGGCTACCACCCAGTACTCTACCCTGCACCTTAGAGACTGCTGCCCTATACACATAGTCATTTTACACACTTTATATGTATATACTGTATTCTAGTCAAGGCTCATCCTATATAACTACTGCTGTACCGTCCTTCCTATTCATGTACTGTCCATAATGTCTACACACACCATCATATACATTTAAATTATATTTATATTCCCGGACTCTGACATTGCTGGTTCTAATATTTGTATATTTGCGTGTATTGTTTTGTATTGTTAAGTATTACTGCAATGTTGGAGCTAGAAGCATAAGCATTTCACTGCAGCCGCGATAACATCTGCAAAATATGTTTATGGGACCAATACATTTAGATTTGATTTGATTTTGATTTGACGCCAACAACATCAGGAAGTCAAGTGACTCTGTCAGAGCTGATACCATTATCTGTTTACTGATCTAGATCTCTCCAACTCCACACGAGGCCTGGCTCTGCTCTGCTAGCTGTAGTGTAGACACCCCTCTCTACATCCTCCTCCTCTCCACTGTGCCTCTATCAGGCTAGCACATCACCCCATGGAATTACCTAAATCATCAACCCAGTTACATAAGGAAATCCTCTTTATCAGACCAGCATAACCGAAACACATACGGGCATGATGGTTAAACGATCACAACGATCACATAACCAAATCCTCTCTGCCTCACCTGGGCTTTGCCATTGTATCACCTCTCACTCCCCCTCAGCAGAGAGGAGAGAGAGCATCTCCACTCAGAAATGGAAGGAGGATTATCTCTTAATGCAATCCCTAACTGACTGACTGATATCCCCAGGTGACCCTTTCCCACCACTTTCTCACCGATACATGTAGTTATTTGAAGATTTGGTCCAGATAAGCCCCCCTCCAATCCAGCTCTGTTCCTCCAGCAGGATAGTGATGAAGCAGGATGTGGGGTTCTGACTGACTCTCTCAATTCCCCCACTACAGACCTGGATTTCAGCCATGGGATTCCCTATGGGCCCTGGTCAAAAGTATTGGACTAGGGAATAAGGTGCCATTTGGGACACAGACTGGGGGTCTGGTCACACTTTCCTGGAACTCAGCCTTTGTTTTTCTGATATTATGAAAATATGCAAAAAATACGGATCATTGTGTGAACTTGCATGTGAATTGCAAGGAAGACAACCCTTATATCTACTGTATATCTCACTCTCACTATTACGATGTCATGCTGAAAAGATAGGCTAAGTGACCCTGCATACTTTATCATCAAAAAAGGAGTCTAGACACACTATCAGTCTGTCTAGATACTAATCCCACTCCAAATACTTTTTGGCACGAAGGCAACTTGCCACTCCATGGGGTAGCCAGGTTATTTTTATCTTGTTTTTCTTGAACTCCCGCTGATTCCATGAGATGTAAAAATAAACAAACTATTGCTATCTCTATTGACATCAACTTTAATATGATAAAAAAATGAATAAGATAAGTTTAGAAGGTTAGAAGTCAGTAGATATCATCGCAAAAATGGATATCCAAAATGACACGAGTACCTCAGGGCATCCATTTCACAGTAGAGTGACATGTTTTCAAAACGATTACTGAATGCCAAGTAATGAAATACATGCTTCCTCCTCTGTTTTGTTCCTCTTGCCTTTACTACCCTCAGTAGAGGAAATTCATTGTAAATTATTAGCCTCTCATGGAACAAGGATGGAAGAACAAATCAAATTGTCAAAGATTATAACCCTCCTAAGATATATGGAAATTATGTGCAAATGTTTAGATGATAGAGCCCCGTGTAGCTCAGTTGGTAGAGCATGGCGCTTGCAACGCCAGGGTTGTGGGTTTGATTCCCACGGGGGGCCAGTATGATTTTTTTTTTTTTTTTAATGTATGCACTCACTAACTGTAAGTCGCTCTGGATAAAGAGTGTCTGCTAAATGACTAAAATGTAAATGTAAAATATATGTCAAGTAGCCAATGACGAGTAGAAGCTTGTGGTCCTCTGTAGCTCAATTGGTAGAGCATGGCGCTTGTAACGCCAGGGTAGTGGGTTCGATCCCCGGGACCACCCATACGTAAAAATGTATGCGCACATGACTGTAAGTTGCTTTGGATAAAAGTGTCTGCTAAATGGCATATTATTATTATTTAATGAACTCTCAAATGCACTTCACCTCTTTAAAAGATAAATAACTAAAGTGAAAATAAATGTCTTCTTAACGTTTGCTACTGAAGTTGTTCAGAAGGACGAACGTGGCATGGCACATAAGAAAGAAAATCCTGCGATTATCTGGAGAGAAAAAAACTGGATGACTTTCAGACTAGGGGACGCAATATCAATCATGGCCAATTTGAGGCCACCAACATGAAATATGATTTCATAAGACAAATGCAGTGTCATTCTTAATATGCTTAACCTTTACTGTCAATGAAAAAGTATTGATCATTCCGTGGCATTTTTTCATCATTTGATTTCAGAACGCGTAATAACATATGGTACAATAAAAGATGAATGGCAACTGAATGGTCTCAGTTTAACAAAGCTCAAATCCCCACAGAGCGATTGTGTGGAGAGAAAAATGAATGGAATTTATGCCTTTGCTGGAGTAGTTTTTGATATTGTCCAGAACTATCTGAATGATAATACATTTCCATTACTCTCTAAGTTATCTATCTACGTATCAATATTGTTTTACATGAATGTCATATTGTCTATTCAGTGTGATATATAAAGACTACAGTGGGGGAAAAAAGTATTTAGTCAGCCACCAATTGTGCAAGTTCTCCCACTTAAAAAGATGAGAGAGGCCTGTAATTTTCATCATAGGTACACGTCAACTATGACAGACAAATTGAGAAGAAAAAAATCCAGAAAATCACATTGTAGGATTTTTAATGAATTTATTTGCAAATTATGGTGGAAAATAAGTATTTGGTCGCCTACAAACAAGCAAGATTTCTGGCTCTCACAGACCTGTAACTTCTTCTTTAAGAGGCTCCTCTGTCCTCCACTCGTTACCTGTATTAATGGCACCTGTTTGAACTTGTTATCAGTATAAAAGACACCTGTCCACAACCTCAAACAGTCACACTCCAAACTCCACTATGGCCAAGACCAAAGAGCTGTCAAAAGACACCAGAAACAAAATTGTAGACCTGCACCAGGCTGGGAAGACTGAATCTGCAATAGGTAAGCAGCTTGGTTTGAAGAAATTATTAGGAAATGGAAGACATACAAGACCACTGATAATCTCCCTCGATCTGGGGCTCCACGCAAGATCTCACCCCGTGGGGTCAAAATGATCACAAGAACGGTGAGCAAAAACCACACGGGGGGACCTAGTGAATGACCTGCAGAGAGCTGGGACCAAAGTAACAAAGCCTACCATCAGTAACACACTATGCCGCCAGGGACTCAAATCCTGCAGTGCCAGACATGTCCCCCTGCTTAAGCCAGTACATGTCCAGGCCCGTCTGAAGTTTGCTAGAGTGCATTTGGATGATCCAGAAGAGGATTGGGAGAATGTCATATGGTCAGATGAAACCAAAATATAACTTTTTGGTAAAAACTCAACTCGTCGTGTTTGGAGGACATAGAATGCTGAGTTGCATCCAAAGAACACCATACCTACTGTGAAGCATGGGGGTGGAAACATCATGCTTTGGGGCTGTTTTTCTGCAAAGGGACCAGGACGACTGATCCGTGTAAAGGAAAGAATGAATGGGGCCATGTATCGTGAGATTTTGAGTGAAAACCTCCTTCCATCAGCAAGGGCATTGAAGATGAAACGTGGCTGGGTCTTTCAGCATGACAATGATCCCAAACACACCGCCCGGGCAACGAAGGAGTGGCTTCGTAAGAATCATTTCAAGGTCCTGGAGTGGCCTAGCCAGTCTCCAGATCTCAACCCCATAGAAAATCTTTGGAGGGAGTTGAAAGTCCGTGTTGCCCAGCGACAGCCCCAAAACATCACTGCTCTAGAGGAGATCTGCATGGAGGAATGGGCCAAAATACCAGCAACAGTGTGTGAAAACCTTGTGAAGACTTACAGAAAACATTTGACCTGTGTCATTGCCAACAAAGGGTATATAACAAAGTATTGAGAAACTTTTGTTATTGACCAAATACTTATTTTCCACCATAATTTGCAAATAAATTCATAAAAAATCCTACAATGTGATTTTCTGGGAAAAAAAATCTCAATTTGTCTGTCATAGTTGACGTGTACCTATGATGAAAATTACAGGCCTCTCTCATCTTTTTAAGTGGGAGAACTTGCACAATTGGTGGCTGACTAAATACTTTTTTTCCCACTGTATATATGAATTTCAGTGATTACATTTCTCCCGCCCCATCCCTCAGCTGTTTACTAAAAAGTGGTGGGGTGCAGGCTTTGTTTTTGTTTGAATCCCAGATTGCCCCTTTAAGGTGCTATTAGGATTTTCCATAGTTTCTCCAGTCATCTTTGAATATGTATTAGCCCTCCATAACATTATTGCCAACCAGGAATAGCTAGTTAGAGCCTAAGTAGTGTTTCTATTTTTCCTCCATTCTGTTGAGTAATTGGACGGTCTCCTCTTCCGGCTATTTTTTTTCTACTTACTCGACCTAATAAGGCTCTGCTCTGCTGCACTGCAACCAAATCAGCAGTGCATTTTCACCCTCTAATAAGTCGTTAGCTTGATTTATCTGGGTGATCTCATGCTCCTACGTGGCTGAAGCACTTGGCCTGTCCACCAGTTCCAGATGAGTCCATTACAGCCAGGGTAAACACAGCCATTTTTTTAACCCTGGAAAGGAGCAGTGTGGTGGCGCGGTATGGTGGCGGGTTGATTCAGAGTGGGAGCGTGTCGATTTGGTTGAGGATACAATGACACCATGGCGCCTTCTATTGTTAAACCTAGATGGTCTGTGGCTGTCCGGCCCCTGCAGAGATGCTGCCGGGCCCTAGGGGAGCCCCGGGGGCCACAGGAAGCACTTAGACTGGTAAAATGGGCACTTATTCACCGGCCCACCCCCTCTCTCTGCCCTCCCGGACCCCACCCCCTCTATCTGCCCTCCCGGCCCCCACCCCAGGCTCTCTTCTGGGCACACACCTCTAGGGGCTGGATAATGGACTACTGGTCATATACGTCACAGTACTTCACTTTCTTCATCCTACACTGTCGCCCGTGTTTGTTTACTTACAGTAACATTTGGAGAACACTGATCAACATTCCAATTTATAACCAAACAATAACAGTCATTACCTGTATGATTCTGTCCCTGCAGTTGAACCCTCTGGCCAGCCAGGCTGCGGTGGCAGCAGCAGCAGCTATGGGCTCCATGGCCGGATCCCAGGTCTTTGGCAACACCCTCTCCAACCTGCAAGCTGGAGTCACGGGTCAACTGGTCACTAATGCACAAGGACAGGTTAGTGATCTTTACCAGCCATAATATCAAAAGAGGTATCCTATAGGTTTCACAGTGTTCATTAGACCTGACTAGAACAACTCACTATAAAATGCTAAAGTTATAGTGGAGGAAGATCACATCACATAATGATGGTTGAAGTATATTTTCCATGTTCTTCAGTCAATGCTACACTATACCGGTCTTATAAACCACTTTCCGCTAACTAAATACACACAAATACAATTCCAAAGCCTGGATGGTCTCAATATTTCATTTTCTTATGTAGTAATCTTGTTTGGGGGTTTATTTCTTTATTTTTCAGCTGTTTGTTATGTGGACGCTGCTCCGTGGCAGCCGTCCTACCATATGTTAAGCTTTTTGGGAATAAACAAAGCCCTTCCTCCTCTTATCCGCATGCACCCGTCGCAGTAAAACGCTGACCTTGTCATATTTACAGGGTGGCTGCAGAATTGTTCCATCAGTAGCCAGAGGCTTGAACGATGACGCTTGTCAGAGTGGGGCCCTATCTAATGAATCATCTTATCGCAGATGCACACAGCACATATTAAAGGAAGATTGTATGGACAATGTGCACTTTCACACCAGCCAGTTATTTACCTTAACTCCTATTTCATACCTAGCTGTCCGCCCTACTCCCGCTATCCTGTTCATCACTAAATTAAAACCACGACCTGACGAATACCTTTTGTGGTTTTATGATAAGACAGACCTAATTCCATGTTTGTTTGTGTAAGTCTGTAAGGAGTAAGAATTGCTGTACAAGTTTTTGTCTACATGCTCATGACAGAGCAATGTACATATTGTAGGCTACTTATAATTGTGTATGACTGTATATGTTCTTCTATGTTTGTCCACATATACTGTAAACAGCATGTGTGAGTCTGTGTTAGCCCTTGATGCTAAATGCGGCTAATGAGACAGTATGGGTTTCCCTGGTCTGGAGGTGCCCGGAGCTCCGGGGACAGATCGACATGGAGATGGATTTGATGGGATGCTCTGTGCTTTTGTAGTGTATCGGCGGCTGACATTGGCTGACATAATCAGGTCACTGAGACGGTCAAAGCCCTGGGCTACAGTCCTTTGCTCCCCACCTCATTATTTCAGAGCATTATTCAGCCTGAGCGCTCTGAAACATGCACCACACTACCAACGTAGCCAGGGTCTCCCCACCACAAACGCGCGCACGCACACACACACACACCACCACCCCTCTAATACTGGGAAGGGAACATTAAAGAGGCTAATGCATGCCTGGAACTTGACTGGAAGACCGACAAACACTGCCTCAGAAGCTGCCCACCATAAAAGCAGAACTTGTGTCACTATGTAGATTCCCAAACAGGAAACAAAATAATATCTTTGATCAGACTTTGGTGTTTATTTTGCTGGAAGAATGATAGAGGAACTAAACTCAACAAAAAAATAAACGTCCTCTCACTGTCAACTGCGTTTATTTTCAGCAAACTTAACATGTGTAAATATTTGTATGAACATAACAAGATTCAACAACTGAGACATAAACTGAACAAGTTCCACAGACATGTGACTAACAGAAATGGAATAATGTGTCCCTGAACAAAGGGGGGGTCAAAATCAAAAGTAACAGTCAGTATCTGGTGTCGCCACCAGCTGCATTAAGTACTGCAGTGCATCTCCTCCTCATGGACTGCACCAGATTTGCCAGTTCTTGCTGTGAGATGTTACCCCACTCTTCCACCAAGGCACCTGCAAGTTCCCGGACATTTCTGGGGGGAATGGCCCTAGCCCTCACCCTCCGATCCAACAGGTCCCAGACGTGCTCAATGGGATTGAGATCTGGGCTCTTCGCTGGCCATGGCAGAACACTGACATTCCTGTCTTGCTGGAAATCACGCACAGAACGAGCAGTATGGCTGGTGTCATTGTCATGCTGGAGGGTCATGTCAGGATGAGCCTGCAGGAAGGGTACCACATGAAGGAGGAGGATGTCTTCCCTGTAACGCATAGCGTTGAGATTGCCAGCAATGACAACAAGCTCACCGCCCCAGACCATGACGGACCCTCCACCTCCAAATTGATCCTGCTCCAGAGTACAGGCCTCAGTGTAACGCTCATTCCTTCGGCGATAAACGCGAATCCGACCATCACCCCTGGTGAGACAAAACTGCGACTCGTCAGTGAAGAGCACTTTTTGCCAGTCCTGTCTGGTCCAGCGACGGTGGGTTTGTGCCCATAGGCGACGTTGTTGCCGGTGATGTCTGGTGAGGACCTGCCTTACAACAGGCCTACAAGCCCTCAGTCCAGCCTCTCTCAGCCTTTTGCGGACAGTCTGAGCACTGATGGAGGGATTGTGCGTTCCTGGTGTAACTCGGGCAGTTGTTGTTGCCATCTTGTACCTGTCCCACAGGTGTGATGTTCCAATGTACCGATCCTGTGCAGGTGTTGTTACACGTGGTCTGCCACTGCGAGGACAATCAGCTGTCCATCCTGTCTCCCTGTAGCGCTGTCTTAGGCATCTCACGGACATTGCAATTTATTGCCCTGGCCACATCTGCAGTCCTCATGCCTCCTTGCAGCATGCCTAAGGCACATTCACGCAGATGAGTAGGGACCCTGGGCATCTTTCTTTTGATGTTTTTCAGAGTCAGTAGAAAGGCCTCTTTAGTGTCCTAAGTTTTCATAACTGTGACCTTAATTGCCTACCGTCTGTAAGCTGTTAGTGTCTTAACGACTGTTCCACAGGTGCATGTTCATTAATTGTTTATGGTTCATTGAACAAGCATGGGAAACAGTGTTTAAACCCTTTACAATGAAGATCTGTGAAGTTGTATTTTTACTAATTATCTTTGAAAGACATGGTCCTGAAAAAGGGACGTTTCTTTTTTTGATGAGTTTAGAATAGCTCGAATACGTGTACACTTCTTGAATATGAATTCTCTAGCTAGGTAAGACGACATTGTAACAGCATTGTAACTGTACTAAAGCACAAGGGATTTGATAAAAGGTATCTGTGTGAAAATCCCTGTACTGCATTGATTTTGAGTCCTTTCTTCTCCTAAGAGAGGTCTTTTAATCTAAATTAAGTACTTTGGTCTTTTGAAGAGAGCAGAACACAGTTCAGTAGGGGTTACAGTCATTCACCCTATCACTAATGCTCATTGGATTTCTTCAGGGGTGCAACTTTAGTTTTAGAAGTGGGGGGGATAAACACTCCAAACAGCCTATCCGACCGCTCAGAGGCGTCCGCATGGTCCTAAAGCACACCTTTGCCTCGCTTGTATCACTTTCCAATGATCAAACTGGGGGGGACAAAAATGCAATTTCAGAATGTGGAAATGTCCCCCCCCCCCCCGTCCCCCCCCCCCCCCCCCCCGTCCCCAGTGAAAGTTCTTGTTAGAGTAGCTTCCAGACAGGGGCCTTGAAAAGCATTGGATTTGATAATGTGGCTTCAACATGTGTCAACCTGATTATGGAGTATATGTGTCCAACCTTTTCACTTTCCAAGACTAATCGACGAAGCCACTCTTCAGTCCCATCTTTGTGATTAAGGCTGTACTGTAATAAAGAGTTCATTCAATAATGAATTTCATATCAGTACACAGTCTACCTAAGGAAAGCGCTGCACCATTTTACCTTAGTTCCTCAGTATTGAAATGTGAATGAGAAGATATACTCCCGAGTGGCGCAGTGGTCTAAGGCACTGCATCACAGTGCTAGCTGTGCCACTAGAGATCCTGGTTCAAATGGCCGGCAGGGGATGTAGCTCAGTTGATAGAGCATGGTGTTTGCAACGCCAGGGTTGTGGGTTCGATAAAATAATGTATGCGCTAACTGTAAGTCGCTCTGGGTAAGAGCGTCTGCTAAATGACTTAAATGTAAGATTGAGGCCATACTACAGGAAACATTTCCTCACAAATGTTTCTGTCATATGACTACGTATTCCCTTGTACTATACACAATTTTACCACACATTCTGTGCCATACCTGCCATGGCTCCATTGAGAAACCTATCATATTTGACAAAGAGAGCAATGGTAAGGTATATGACCTGAAAAGTGGCTAGCCCTCAAACGGTCTGTGATGGGGGAACTCCCAGCCCTGTTAACCCTGGTGGCTGGTCTTTGTGTTTCCTGGTGAAACCCCCATGAGCCATCCATCTCCTTCATTGGGCTTTGATAAAGGCTACAGCCCACAGGGCAGACACTGCTGTTACCTATGCACACTACACCAGGTAGGAACACACACATGCTCTGTTAACCTGCATGCGCACAACCATGGAGGGACTCCATTGGAATACAAATTCATTCCTGCTTGTGGAAGTCCTCAGAGGTAGAGGAAACATTCTGGCATTACCATTTTAACTTCTGAGCACCTGTTTCAACCATAACAGCAGGGCAAATTAAGCCACCTGTGCAGATTTGCATGTTTGTGGAAGATTGTACTGTACCCAACATAACCTACACCAGTATTCCGTTTTAGAGCCACACAATCAAGAGGATTCGGGAGACGTATAACACAATTTACATACCATGTCCCTTATCAAATTGATGTGCTTGGTGTCTTGGAGCTCTAATGAAAAAAGTCAGGATTTCCAAACGTTTCCCAACATGGGCCTCTATTCCCTTCACAGAGAGAAAAGGAGGGAAAATGGCCAAAGATATTGTCTGGCCACCATGACTAACACTACAGATTAGCCTGGCTGAGGAGATGACATGACATTTCTGTGGAAACAAGAGAAGAGCAGCATAATCTTAATGAGTTCTGCTGAGAGAAGGGAGAGAGAGAGAGAGGAGGACCCAGGTCCTGAGCATTCCTGACACACTTCACGATTGGAAAACAAATACAGGAGGAGGAAAAAGACAAAGAGGAAAGAGAAACATAAAGAATGCTGGTTGGACAAAGCTGACAATACTATTGTTTGTGAGAAAGTGCCACAGTGTATGTGGTTAAAAAATGCCATAACTGACTGTAGTCTGACACCAAAGCATGTCTTCTCCATGGATCTCTCTGTGAATCTACAGGTAAAATAATAATAATTTGGGGGTGCTAATATTTGTTCTGTTATACACAAATGTGTAATGGAAATGTGTTTCTTGCATATCCCAACTCCCCCTGAGACACCCACAGGGAGTGGGGTCACAGTCAGGGTCGCCATTGGAGCAATTAGGGTTTAGTGCCTTGCTCAAGGGCACAGCGGCAGATTTTTCACCCTTGTCGGCTCCAGTATTCAAACAACCTTTTCGGTTAGTGGCCCAACACTCTAACCTTGAGGCTACCTGCCGCCCACCATGTTTTCCCTCCGAATGTATTATGTTTTATATAAATAGTGTCAAAATCGACTGCCTTGAGAAACGCCATCTGAGCACTGCCATGTCACACCCAGAAGGTCTGAGGGAGAGATGGAGATGTGGCGGTAGCGGTGCATCCGGGGACGAGAGCTAAGCTGTCAGTTCCCTGCCTCTGTTATTATGCTTATAGAACAACCACTTAGTCCAATGAGGATGAATAATTGAGCGGAACATGTCCTCCGCCACAGAGGCACACGAAGCCAGGCGTCGGGAGACATGAGCGTCAGGCGGCGCAATAAAATATGCTAAGTGGCAGGAGAGGAGAGCATTACAGGGGGAATCAGATCAGGCGACACGGAGCGCGGAGAGAGAGATAAATTATCTGTCGCTTAATGCGAAGCAACGTAAGCAAATGAGCCGTAGAGGGGATGAATTACAGATTGCCGGCCTACAATTCTACCACTGATCCCTCCACATTATATCAAACAGAGAATGGAGAGAGAGGGGAGGGGGACCAGGCAGAGAGAGGCATGGCAGGAAGAATTAGATTAGCAATGGGAGCAGTGGTGAGATGCTGGACTACAGTATGAAGGGACCTGTTTGCATCTCGCTGTGACATCATATGAAGTGACAGGTGCATGTGTAATAATTAAATCTCTGGCTAGATTAAATTATGTTGGTGTTTTATTCATACACGATGCTTGAAGTAGGCCGAAACCCTGTGCAGCATGAGCTACCAAAACATTCATTGTGCTTGTGTCCATTTATTTTGGATCGAATTTTGCTTGTGATTGTTTACATGTATATAAAAAAATACAAACGTGCCAGCCTGGTCAAAATGACAAGCTTTGTAAAATAATGGCAAGCCCAACCATGTTCACTCTCTGGCATAATGAGGCTGGATGCTGTTGTCCTGTCAGTGGAGAGAGCAGGCAGAGAGACTGAAGCTGTCTGTCCAGGACCAGTCCCCAGATGACATTAACCTTCATCATTGTGAAGAGGCACTAAGTCCCCCCCTAAAGCGCTACTCTTGGCTACTGAGAGCTAAAACGCTGCGGTGACACTCTGCCGCCCCCTTTGATCTGCACTTCCTGATTACAGCCATGGAGGAGAGCAGAGGAGAGCTGGGGAGGGGGGATGAGAGGAGGAGAGGAGTGGAAGAGTGGAGGAGAGGATGAAGTACCCCAGGGACCCTGTGAGCTGTTTGGTCATGTGTGTGTGTGTGTGTGTGTGTGTGTGTGTGTGTGTGTGTGTGTGTGTTGAGGGGAAGGAGGGGAGGGGGATCTCTCAGCACAGCCACATTACCAACCCCCCTTAACAGAAACAGACAAAGACGCATATACACACATGAATCACACATGAACGCACACACACTCCCCTCTCCTGGCCTGGTGATGGATAACACAGTCAGTGGTCTGCACCAGCACACACAGGTACTCAGAGCTGACCTTTGCAGTGTGCTCCCAGCTGTGTGCTCTGCCTTCGCTTGCTTTGGCCTATAAAAGCTCCTCTGCGACAGATGATCAGAGAATCTGTCTGTGCGTTCCCTCACACACACTTACTCAACCATCAAGTGCTCTGTGCTTGGGCTTGATACTGTCATTCTAATGGTTTGTGCACTGATATACATGTATTGACATACACAATACTTTATGTTTTACTTGCTGTGGGATTTCATATAGAACATGAAAATTGCTCCATACTTCTGTACAGTAGATCATATGAACAATATGTTCTAATGATGTTCACCCTCCTACAGTTATCCATGTACTGTAGATCACTGGAACGACTCATCTGATTTCTTCTCTTCTCCTCCCCTCTCACCCCTCCTTCGTAGATAATTGGAACGATCCCACTGATGCCCAACTCTGGGGGGCCCTCGAGCCAATCAGGGGGCGTAAACCCTGCTCTGCAGGTCCAGCCAATTACACCCCAGCTTCTGACCAACGCCCAGGGCCAGATCATCGCCACGGTGATCGGCAATCAGATCCTGCCTGTCATCAACACCCAGGGAATCACACTGTCACCAATCAAGCCTGGACAGCAGGTAACCACAAACATGCACAGACACAAACATGCGCGCACACACACAAGACACAATGCAGGCACATGAAGATATGTTCCTATTCACAGAAAGACCCAAAACTATTTCCATCCAATTGGCAATTTCATGTGAATATTCTAAATTCCACATAAACAAATGATGCGCATTTTCCCACCAGAGATGTTTCCATCAAATTGACATGTAGTGCATAGAAAAATTACTTTTGTGGTTAAATTCCCATGTACGAATAAAAATTAAAGTTAAATGGGTTTCCATCGCATGTTCAACTCTACTGATGGTTTTGTCACGAAAAATGTTATATAGCGAATGTGCCCACTCTGGTATTGGCACGTGCGCTCTAGCCAACATCTTGCAGATACAGTGTGGGTATAGCCTACATTATGAGATGAGATTATTTCATTTGTCAAACGTCAAACAAGCATTGAACATCATGTCACCAGAATAAGACCCTTGATATTTATAGGAAAGGAGTATCAAGCTCATCACTGTGCAATTTCACCACCCTGTGAAGTTCACCATAGTTTATTTAATCTGTAGCCTAATAAACTGCATGCTTTCCCGAGTCGTAGTGGGAGGACCACACAACATGTCATCACGTGACTCCAAGTTTACTTCAATATGATGGTTATTATATCAATATTTGCACATTAAAGCTTTTCCACCGCCATTTCTCGCATAATTAACTTTACCATCACAAAAAGATCCCACCTTGTCTAGCGTATGTCTTTTGTCGACATTTAGAAAGTTTACTGTCAAATCTGCTCTTTCCATCAGGCCTGTTGTGACATTTTTTAGGCATAAAAAGGTTGGATGGAAACCTGGTTATAGATACACACTAAAAAAATGGGTCTTGATCTGTGTAGAAAAGTAACCCCTACAAAACTAGTCAAGTCTGATGTTTTTTCAGCTATCACATCTTCTCATCTTCTATTTTAACACAACTTGAATAGGTTTTCCTTCACAAAAACACAACTCCCAACTGTAACATTTCATTGCTCCCAGTGTTTGGAAGAAGTTGCTTTCGATAAAACCATTCAAATTGACTCTTTTGACTAGGGCAGTAAAAATTATTGAAATACTGCAGAAAGAAAAAGTCATAGTGCACATGCCAAAATCTGTCAAGCCTTTGATAAGAAACTCCTTTCTTAGGAGTTAATAAGCAGTAGGGTGTGTGCGTGTGTGTGTTTGTGTGTGTGTGTGTGTTTGTGTGCGTGTGTGTGTTTGTGTGTGTGTGTGTAAAGCACCTGTCAGGCATCCTCTTAGACTCCCTCTCAGGAAGTCTGCAGAGCTCCTGCAGAGCCAGACAAAAAACAACGCTTTTCATCATCTCACTTAAAACTCAAACACCCCCCCATTTGTCCTCTGTGACCTGAGCATGTTGTAATTCTCTTTAATAATCACACATTTAAAGGGATAATCATGTGTCTCTAGCTAGCAAAACAATGCAAAACCAGACTGAACCTCTAAAAAGAACATGAGTTCTTTAGTGCTATTTGTATGAGAGTGAGCTTAAACCCCACCTAGTGCTAAAGTTTTATGTACAAAGTAAATAGCTTCCTTCTTTTGGACTTGTACATACATGGTAGGTGTCAGACGCACACTTACTAAAGAAAATAAATAAATGTCACAGCTTTAAGTCTACCTAATATGGACCAGGCTTTCAGCCATAAAAAAATAAGGTTACAAAAGTGAAACATGATATGTAAATGGCAAGGACAATAGTTAAATCTAATAGGATGGATTAACTTAGAAGATGGCCTTAAATGTGACTTCATAGAACACCAGATCACACTCGTGATCTAATGAATGCATTTGTAGTAATGTTTATGGTTTTTGTCCTCACTTCAAAGACACCGACAGTTCCACAATTGTAATTTACGATTGTCAGCGCCGGCAGTGCGGAATATTTCCAGTGAAGCTAGATAATTCTCTCTGCCTGTCAACTGTCTTGACAGTATGTGCATCGCTGTTGATATCCACCACCATTCCAAACAAACACATGCCGAGGGGAAAATAATTAATAGCAAGAGAGAGGAGTGTGAAAGCCAACCTAGTTTACGGAGGAGACAGCCTTCACTTTAGAGTGAAGACATATCAGCTTGATCTTGTAAGCGCAATTCATTTGCGCACTAACATGAAAATACATTGTTTTCATAGAGTCGAAGCACATTGCCTGTAAATCATAAATTATGTTTGATATGGGAGCGACGGTGTCCAGGTGTCTTTTCCTGCACAGACCTGCCTTTATTAGCAATTCCCTCATGTCTGATGACTGGAGAAAACACCCTATAATTGTCATAGTGTTCTCTACACTCCTGTATGGCAGAGAGAGAGAGAGAGAGAGAGAGAGAGAGAGAGAGAGAGAAGAGAGAGAGAGAGAGAGAGTAGAGATAGAGAGAGAGAGGGATGAGAGAGAGAGAGAGCTAGATAGAGAGATAGGATAGAGAGAGAGATCTCTCTATAGATCGCTCATATAGATGATAGCGTTTGAGAATAGAGAGGAAGTTGGAGAGAGGAATACTAATATCTTTTTTGATAGGATAGATAGGAAGCTTCTCATCTCGCTTCTCTCTCCTCTCCTCTCTCCTCTCTCTGCCTCTCTTTCTTCTTCTTTCTCTCGCTCTCTCGATCTCTCCTCTCTCCTCTTCTCTCTTCTCTCTCTCTCTTCTTTCTTCTCTCTCTCTCTCCTTTTTTTCTCTCTCTCTTTCTCTCTCTCTCTCCTCTTCTCTCGAGAGAGCGAAGAAATTAAAATCAGCAGAGCCACCAGTCATCTCCTATCAAACCCCACTGTCTGTCTCTATACAAATCTTATACTGTTTCAATAAAAATCTAGCTCTGAATAGTCTACTCTATTGACCCTACTATTGATACTGCATTGTGTGTTATCATTCTGAATATTTGTTAGCATACACAGTAATGATCATATAACCTCTTTACACAAACCTAATCATATTATGTTCCGTTGTTAATATAATATATAATATAATTGTCACAGCAATGTCACAGCAATGTACAAGTGTTTGAGAGTCACCATAATTACTGTGTGTGATTATGAAGATCACTTGTAGTGCTATTGGTGTAACGTTATAGGGGTTGTATTGTTGTTTTAAGTCAATATTATTTCTGTGTGTGTGTCCTCAGCTGCCTCAGGCTCAGCATGTTCAGACAGGCCCAGTGTCGTCTCAGCCCAACCTGCTCCACATGCCCCACAGCCAGAGTCCTCTCCGCCAGGCCTCTTCCTCCTCCTCCTCCTCCTCTTCCTCCTCCACCCTCAGCGTGGGTCAGCTGGTCAGCAGTGAGTACCCGGCGACACACTCGCACACACACACGCACACACACACACACACACACACACACACACACACACACACACACACACACACACACACACACATATTAAGGGAACATACAAGCCTACAGATAAACCTACATTGTCAGAGAATTACATTTTGTAATTGACCACAGTCTTTGGTATGGTGAACCTTCTATTTCAAGAGCATTGGCTTTCTGTTTGTCCAGAAACTTTAGATTTTTCTCCTTCGTCTTCATAAAGGATTTATTTAATCCCCTCTTTGTCAAATATCTTGTTTATTAGACTATCAAAAACACTGTGTGTAATGAACACCAGCCTCAGTTTCCACATACTTAGCCCTCTGGTGGACCCTTAATAAATCATAGAGCCTAAGGCTGTCAGCATGCAACCGTTGCCTTAAAAACTCTGTTTTAATCAGATAAATATACATACATTTCATTTGTCACAGGCTATTCACCTAAACTCCCTCATTTTGAAGGCATCTGCGCCTGAGTTCTTCATTCAATATAAAGAAGTTGCCATTGATCAACTTGTTTTATAAACTGGGTGGTTTGAGCCCTGAATTCTGATATCAGACCGTATACCACGGGTTTGACAAAACATTTAGTTTTACTGCTCTAAATACGTTGGTAACCAGTTTATAATAGCAATAAGGCTCCTCTGGGGTTTGTTATATATGGCCAATATACCACGGCTAATATACCACAGTGTTGCGTCATGCCTAAGAACAGCCCCTAGCCGTGGTATATTGGCCATATACCACACCTCCTTTGGCCTTATTGCTTAATTATACAATGGCATTGTTGATAACATTTGTTTCTGATTGGCTTGTAGGGCATTCTAGAGCGTGAATTATTTCCCTATAACGCATGGTATATCAGCACAGTAAAATTCGATGGCTATAGTTAATTTTTACATGTTCTATGTTTCAGCTGCTTTTGAAAGTAACAGTCGAATTGAAAACATAATTGTCATTGTTAAATTCAATTTTCATAATAGCAAGCTAGGACATGGTTTGGTTAACTAAACTAGCAAGTCAGTTTGTTTGGTTACCAAAGCAACTACTGTAGCTATCTAGTAAACTTGCTAGCTACTTCAGTGGATGTTGAACACATTTCCACTGTCAAATGAACATATTTCTAGTGGCAGATGTGTTAAATTATAGCCATGGTATAAAAGGGACAATCAACTCGGGGTTCTCCACTAGCGCGTCGTGGAACACACCTTCCACGTCGTTCAAGAACGCATAGCCCGTCGTTGAATATTCCTTCCGTGGACATGAGCAATGGAGCATTATTTCTGTGTCAAATCATACATAATACAGTTTGCATTCTACATTCCTCTCGCCAATATACTGCTGTGGTCCAGCTCATTGTATTTGCAAGGTCCTAGGGTAACACTTTATTTGGATAGTCCATCTGTAGACGCTCTACAGACTATCTACAGACTATCAGTAACATTTAACCTAACTATCTACTAACCCTGCTCTACAGACTATCTACAGAATATCAGTAACATTTAACCTAACTATCTACTAACCCTAGCTCTAACCCTAACCTTAACCCTTATCCTAACCCTAAACTTAACCGTTGCCCTAACCTTAACCCTTACCCTTATTCTAAACCTAACCCTAACCGTAACCTTAGCAAGCAGTTGCTTATCAACAGATAGTTTGTTGATAGTATGACCATCTATAGAGCATCTACAGATGAAAAATCCGGACTATCCAAATAAAGTGTGACTGAAATTTTTTAATTTAAATGAGTGGATGGGATTTTTCAAACAGTCAATGTCTTTTTAGATCACAAATACCTACATAGGGTACATAGGGATTTCAAACCCAATGTAAATTAAATCCAACGTATTATATGGAATATGTATTATTTGTAAAGCCTTGAAGACAGTCATATAGGAAGGAGACCAGTGATGGAGCACAGTGGACAGACAGTGTGGGCACCACTTGCAGAAAAGACGAATCATTTCCTATAGAAACACACTTCATTGACTCTCCATTGGGGATAATCAGATGCTCATCAAGGTGGAACTGATGAGGACTGATGATGCAGCTAGTGCCCATCCTCCCATCCTGTTAAGATATACAGGGTCTGCATCCCAAATGGCAGCTTATTCCTTATATAGTGCCCTACATTAGACCAGATGAACCCAGATGAGGTCCTGGTCAAAGTAGTGCACTACATTGGGAATAGGGTGCCATTTGTGACTGCCTGGTCCTATGTCTCCAAATGTTCACACGTCTAGAGCTCTGCCGCTGTAGAAGCTCAGAATCTCTGTGTCTCTTATGAGGCCTCACGGCAAGATGGCAGCCTGATAGATTTCTCCTTAAATACGCTTGGAGGATTCCTTTAATAATTCATTGATAATGACCAAGATGAATAATTCACCGGCACAAACTTTGCTTTAGTAAGCAGGATGCCAGGGCACCTGACATTGATGTACAATGTGAAATCACTTTTTATTAGCTATGAAATTCTTCAAAATGCTAAGGGGGGGGGAAAAAGGTCCCCAAGGTCACTTAAATGCGGGTCTGAAAAGCAGCAATTTACAAACAACATTTATACAATAAAATTGATTCTTTAGAGAAGAGTTGGATGTCATCTTTGAACAATTGAGTAGTGCTGCACATACAGCAGCACAGTCTTTCTGTGGAGGTGTCAACTGACTTCCCCAAAGGAGGGACACATGAATGGGAATGATCCTCTAATAAACATTCCACAGTCTTCTCTTTCATTATAAAAGCAGGGAGATTGGGCTATAAAACAGTTGGCTTTCAGACTGCTTATTGTTCATAACCTCCCGAGTGGCGCAGTGGTCTAAGGCACTGCATCGCAGTGCTAGCTGTGCCACTAGAGATCCTGGTTCGAATCCAGGCTCTGTCGTAGCCGGCCGCGACCGGGAGATCCATGGGGTGGCGCACAATTCGTCCAGGGTAGGAGAGGGAATGGCCGGCAGGGATGTAGCTCAGTTGGTAGAGCATGGCGTTTGAAACGCCAGGGTTGCGGGTTCGATTCCCACGGTGGGCCAGTATGAAAAATATATAATGTATGCACTCACTAACTGTAAGTCGCTCTGGATAAGAGCGTCTGCTAAATGACTAAAATTTAAAAAATAATGAAACAGGACGAATGCCCGAGAATGGCAATGGCCCCACATTGGATTAACCTATTGAATGGACATGTCTCTATGCTGTTGAGTCCATTATGTGTCCATCAGTTTTTTTCATTGAAGATTAAATGAGAAACGTTTTCAATTTAGTGTTAAACGCAAAGCCAGCCTTTCACTCTCGATACCATTACAGTACATATTGTACAGAGACTGCTATTATCAACTAGAGGGCATAGAAGCACCAGAATTAGAATCACTGCTAACTGAGGGTACAATTCATAATATATTTCTAAAGCTACTCCTGTTGTTTATCAACAGAGACCAGCACTGTCACATTATACTGGAATGTATGTGTACAGTGGCTTGCAAAAGCATTCACCCCTCTTGGCATTTTTCATATTTTGTTGCCTTACAACCTGGAATTAAAATGGATTTTGTATCATTTGATTTACACAACATGCCTACCACTTTGAAGATGCAAAATATTTTTTCTTGTGAAACAAACAAGAAATAAGATGAAAAAAACAGAAAGCTTGCGCGTGCATAACTATTCACTCCCCCCAAAAGTCAAAACATTGGAGAGACACCTTTTGCAGCAATTACAGCTGCAAGTCTCTTGGGGCATTTACATTTTAGTCATTTAGCAGATGCTCTAATCCAGAGCGATTTACAGTTTAGTGAGTGCATACATTTCTCATACTGGCCCCCCGTGGGAAACGAACCCACAACCCTGGCATTGCAAGCGCCATGCTCTACCAACTGAGCTACAGGGGACCTGTGTAGGTATGTCTCTATAAACTTGGCACATCTAGCCACATATTCTCAATTGGATTGAGGTCTGGGCTTTGACTAGGCCATTCCAAGGCATTTAAATGTTTCCCCTTAAACCATTCGAGTGTTGCTTTAGCAGTATGCTTAGGGTCATTGTCCTGCTGGAAGGTGAACCTCCGTCCCAGTCTCAAATCTCTGGAAGACTGAAACTGGTTTCCCTCAAGAATTTCCTTATATTTAGAGCCATCCATCATTACCTTCAATTCTGACCAGTTTCCCAGTCCCTGCCGATGAAAAACATCCCCACAGCATGATGCTGCCACCACCATGCTTCACTGTGGGGATGGTGTTCTCGGGGTGATGAGAGGTGTTGGGTTTGCGCCAGACATAGCGTTTTCCTTGATGGCCAAAAAGCTCAATTTTTGTCTCATCTGACCACAGTACCTTCTTCCATATGATTGGGGAGTCTCCCACATGCCTTTTGGTGAACACCAAACGTGTTTGCTTATTTTTTTCTTTAAGCAATGGCTTTTTTCTGGCCACTCTTCCATAAAGCCCAGCTCTGTGGCTTGTACGGCTTAAAGTGGACGTATAGACAGATACTCCAATCTCCGCTGTGGAGCTTTGCAGCTCCTTCAGAGTTATCTTTGGTCTCTTTGTTGCCTCTCTGATTAATGCCCTCCTTGCCTGGTCTGTGAGTTTTGGTGGGCGGCCCTCTCTTGGCAGGTTTGTTGTGGTGCCATATTCTTTCCATTTTTTTATAATGGATTTAATGGTGCTCCGTGGGATGTTCAAAGTTTCTGATATTTTTTTATAACCCAACCCTGATCTGTACTTCTCCACAACTTTGTCCCTGACCTGTTTGGAGTGCTCCTTGGTCTTCATGGTGCCGTTTTCTTGGTGGTGCCCCTTGCTTAGTGGTGTTGCAGACTCTGGGGCCTTTCAGAACAGGTGTATATATACTGAGATCATGTGACAGATCATGTGACACTTAGATTGCACACAGGTGGACTTTATTTAACTAATTATGTGACTTCTGAAGGTAATTGGTTGCACCAGATCTTATTTAAGGGCTTCATAGCAAAGGGGGTGAATACATATGCACACACCACTTTTCATATTTTTTTTATTTTTTTTAACAAGTTACTGTTTTTATTTCACTTCAACAATTTGGACTATTTTGTGTATGTCCATTACATGAAATCCAAATAAAAATTAATTTAAATTACAGGTTGTATTGCAACAAAATAGGAAAAACGCCAAGGGGATGAATACTTTTGCAAGGCACTGTATTAGCTATATTCCTTGTATTCAGGGTGTTTAACCTCTACAGGATCAGTGTCCCGTATACGGGACGGTTGAGCTAACGTGCGCTAATGTGATTAGCATGACTGTTGTGAGTAACAGCAAACTTTCCAGGACATAGACATGTCTTATATGGGCAGAAAGCTTACATTCTTGTTAATCGAACTGCACTGTCCAATTTACAGTAGCTATTACAGTGACAAAATACCATGCTATTGTTTGAGGAGAGTGCACAACAACAACAAAAAATTATCACGGCAACTGGTTTGATACATTCACCTCTGAAGGTAAATAATGTACTTACATTCAGTAATCTTGCTCTGATTTGTCATCCTAAGGGTCCCAAAGATAAAATGTAGCATAGTTTTGTTTGATAAAATCCATTTTTATATTCAAATGTAGGAATTGGGTTCTACAGTTTGAACCCCTGCTGTCTCTGGCTCCATACCCACCCCGCCCGGTCCTTCTAGATGTGTGAAAGTTAGTGTATAAGCTAATGATCCATCTTGTATGATATTCTTGGGAGTGTGTAAAATTACATTTTGTGATACCATATCATTTTTGTTCTCTATAGTTATGTACTTGAAAATGTATCAATTGACCAATTCGGCACATTTGGGCAGACTTGATACAAAATAGTCCAGTATTGCAATGCTCCACTGGATCAATCTGAAACTTTGCACACACACTGCTGTCATCTAGTGACCAAAATCAAAATTGCGCCTAAACTGCAATATTGCATTGTGGCCTTTCTCTTGCATTTCAAAGATGATGGAACAAAACAAAAAATAGAAAACGCATGTTTTTTTGTTTGTATTATCTTTTACCAGATCTAATGTGTTATATTCTCCTACATTAATTTCACATTTTCACAAACTTCAAAGTGTTTCCTTTCAAATGGTATCAATAATATATCCTTGCTTCAGGTCCTGAGCTACAGGCAGTTAGATTTGGGTATGTCATTTTTAGGCAAAAATTGAAATAAAAGGTCAGATCCTTAAGAGTTTAACGGTGCTATTCAGGTTAGTGAGCTATCCCCCCCTCCCCCCTCCATCTGTACTCCCCGACTAAGAGTTTCTGAGATTTTGTTCTATTGAACATGCCATCACAATAAAGGCATTTTAACCATATGAAGAGTGCCTTGGTCCTTCTTGTTTTTTGACCCTTTCTATTTATGTTGTATTGTAGACCCCCAGACGGCTGCCAGTGAGGTGGATGGGGTCAATCTGGAGGAGATTCGGGAGTTCGCCAAAGCGTTCAAAATCCGCCGCTTGTCCCTGGGCCTGACCCAGACTCAGGTGGGTCAGGCGCTCAGCGCGGCCGAGGGCCCAGCCTATAGTCAGTCTGCCATCTGCAGGTAAGGAAGACTTGGGGTGCCAAATGATTCACATCAAAGCATGGTATTTCTGAGCATAGATCTGTGAATTATGGTGTCTTCTGGAATATTCCTATCCTTCCCATCAAGTGATAAAAGGGTTTTTCTTGACTGCTGTGCAGAAGTTAAGTAGACTTACTCATTGTGGTATTAAAAGGGCAAAAGTATACAATATCTTACCAGTTTTATTAAAATAAATATGCAGAACATCATGTAGAACATCTGAAACCATTTTATATCTGAATGATATACAGTCATTTCTCTGTAGATCAACTGATCCTCTTGCTGCACTCTCCTGTCAGTTTAGTAGTCGCTACAGGAGACGAAGGTGCTCAGGAGTGCTGTCTTTGAGACTGCACATAATCTTTTGGTGTCCATGACGACTCACATCCATATTTCATCTCATATTTAAGCAGACATCATTAAGATATTAAAATGAATACATAATTGAAGACCATCCAGTCAAATCAAGGTCTCATGTCAATTCTTCATCCTCCTCTGTTTTTTCTCTTCTCTTACACGACAGTGCTCTGTTACTTATGCAAAATACATTACCTAGAGTATTACACGAAGCACTTAATGCATTTAATAATTACTAAGGCATATTGCTGTTCACTCTACATTGGGCTTAAGAGAACCTGACAAGAACTGGTCTGTTAATAAGATTGTCGTGTTCTACAGTCCCGTAAGGACATGCGTTTAAACGCTGCATTATCTATTCATTAGATAATCAGACATTTAGTGTTACCAGGTAATGTCTCATCCTTTTTATGCCTTTCCTTCCTTAACTTCAGCACCAATGAACTAGACCCCTTAGAAGTACACTTATCTCTAATCAGGCAAAGTGACATAGGGCAGGTTATATTACATCACAGCATTCAAACTCCTTCATTCTTAAGTTTCACATGATCTAAAAGTACAATTATTTCTGTTTTATTTGTATTTGATTTTTCTCACCAAATTTGTGAAATCAATAGTTTTAATATCATAATCACATCTAATTAAGTTCCGACATTTGGCAGTGACCTTACTATGGCTAATGTCATGTTACCTTTTCATTGTACTCTACCCACCCATAGTATTGTGCTTTACTGTAGTAGCATGCTTCACTGTCAGCAGTTATCATCAATGTGCCCCTTCTTATTCCTGTATTAATTTGTACTGATCTTCTGAAATGCATGTGCTCTGCTGATGACTTGTCCTGCTTATGTGGCACACTGCTACCATGCGCTTTTAAAATTTTCATCACATCAACATCAAACGGCCGATATAATCTGAAACTGGGAGAGCAGGGTTGTTATGAGCAACAGCCCTTTCAAAGTAATGTTTAAAGTCTTAAAAATCACACATGAAATATTTACAAGCATGCATAATTCAGACATTTAGAACGTACATTAAAAGCCATTAGCTTCAAAAAAATAAACAGGTAATGTGTCCATGTGGGTTTATCTATGTCGGTAAGACCATCGTATTTTGTTGGTATGACATTGGACATGACAGGCATCTTCTGATGTTTTAAGTAGATAGTCTTCACATGCTTTAGTTTAGTTAACATCAACAGAGACATGGAAGTTGGAGGAGACGAGGGGACTGCATGCTAGCTCAGGGGCATGTTGTTGTCCTATATCACTGGAACAGACAGTGACAGAGGGTTCCATCTTGTCGGATTCCATTGCTCACTTTGTTAAAAAGCTTTATTAGCTTATCACAGGGGCACAAACATCTCATAAGGACATCATCAGACCAATGGGTTTGAATATTGTCTTATCATAGAGTGCTTTGTACAAGCAGCAAATACAATCTGTCATGTAGTGTTAAACTAAAATAATTATATTCCATAAATGCTTTTTAGACAACGTTGCAAATTATGATTGATGGCATGCTTTCACAAATGGATGACACATTTCATTGCAGAAAAATATGCATGAAGTTTAAATCCACCTCCACATCAATGCAACTACATGTCCAAAGATTCACAGTGCTGTTAATGTGAATACTGCTCAGAATGCATCAGTGCACAATGTTGTCTTAACTACTCATTGCTGGTGTAATTCCTGAAGGGGAATTATGTTGCCATGTTTAAGCTGCATGCATTTACAACATTAATTCACACTAGAATTTACACATCAAATTAAGCAGAAACGTGCCTTCACATCCTCCATATTTATATTTAATCACATCCGCTTCTTTCTCCACCTGTACCTGGCATGTTGAATTCATTACTGAAAGGTGGGATACTGATTGAATACATCATATCTGTCCCCTCTGTCCCCTGTATTCTGTAAGTAATGGACCTTCCACTTAGTCAAATACCCATTCTTACACATGGCCTCACGATATTGTTAAAGGGTTAAACACAAACAGCACTGTAAGCATAGGCACTTAGCAGATGTTTATGCATGTCCTGAAAAAGGTACTTCAGACTGTTGAGAGAGAGAGAGAGAGAGAGAGAGAGAGAGAGAGAGAGAGAGAGAGAGAGAGAGAGAGAGAGAGAGAGAGGAGAGAGAGAGAGAGAGAGAGAGAGAGAGAGAGAGAGAGAGAGAGAGAGGAAGGGGGGTAAAAGAGGTAGATATATGTATTCATTTCCCACTGGTGGTTCTGAACTAGTAGAAGTGCCTCCTCGCTGAGGAGCCAGCCGAGCAGCTCTCGACTCATTTGAGTGCATTTGGTCCCTGTTGATCCATGAAATGTCCTGTTTCTACCCACTCCTTATATTTACTGGCTAATGTATTCCTTGCAGGATGGAACCGTCCTTTTCCACTGTTTAAGAGGGGCTTATAAATAATACTGCCCGTCGACAAGCAGAAATGCACCAACAATCGTAAAAACAGAGATGGGAAAAGCGGAAAAACACACAGGGTATTATTCCCTGCCGTTCTGTATAACAAGCCGACTCTCCACTAAGAACTGTCTTTCATTTTGGTCCTGTGAGAGGGGTCCTTTCTCCCAGCTCTGAGCCATCTCCTCACCTGCCTTCCAGGAAGATTCTATTAAAGGCATCCATAATAGGTCAAGGTCATAGAAGAGGCCTAGACATGTTCCGCTGTTGTTTTAAAGGGGTATCACTTTTTCTCTCTGCCGCTCGCCCCCGAACACCTAGACAGATGTCTGGACTCTCATTAGAGGGCAGGCAGCTTAAACCACACTCTGACACTGATTCCATTACTATACAGCATGTGAGAAACACAGCGACTTTAGCCCAGGTCCATCATCCTTCAGCATGTCCAAGCCAAACGCCATCTCTGTGCTTGTCTCACAGAACACTGCAGCTGACAGGGTCAAAATACACTGAGCTACAGTACAGATACCCCTTAAAGTGTTCTAATAGTACAGTAGTATATACCCACTATTTGTTGAGATCATACTGATTCAACAAGCCATAATTTAGCTACTGTTCATGACTCAGGAACTCTTTCAAAAAATTGGAACTATAGTTTTGAGCTAAAGTACACAATACACTAAATTAGAATATTTACTTATGCTTCATGCATTCATAAACTTGCAAGTATATTCAAAACTGAAGGGTGGAAATGTATTCTTATTAAATATAAAATGAGTGCTTGAGGAGGGAGAAAAATGTATTTAATTTGTATTTTGATAAATAATTCAAACTGCTTTTGTAAATAAATGACAATTCTGTATTTAAGTGCATGCACTGCTGCCTGTTTGACCATATGAATTAAAAACCTTGATTTTTATCACTTGAAGGGAAGGTATGGGAAAAATGTTCAGTGCATTGTTTGGTTAACCCCTTCTTACCTTTTGTTGATTGATGATATGATAGGTCGATGGTATTGTATATCCATGCATACTAGTGTAGTCTCCATAGCTAAAGCTCAGTGTTTGATAAAGATAGTCAGGTGCTCGGGACGTTTTTTTTGGTCCATCTGAAGTATTTTTTTAGCCATTGGAAGGGTCTCTTCACCCCAACGCTGCTTATCTGGGACAGAGAATTACAGCCACAGCCAACCAAACACAAGACAAGTAAACAAAGCGAAAACAAAATGGCACCACATGTAACGTTCACTTCCAACTGCTTTAACTTTGGCTACAAACTGTCATGGATGTAACCAAGGCTGGTGGGTGTCTCTGTCCCAGTGGCAGCTGCTTGGGATAGGAGGCCCTTCCAGTTCACTGAGGCAGGCAGGTTATCCCTTGGCCCAGCAGGGCACCTAAGTAAGATTCTTCTCTCTCAATTCTCCCCAGACACACCATCCTGAGAAGCCACTTTTTCCTACCACAGGAAGCCCAAGAGAACCCTATAGGTAGCAGTCTGACAGGCAAACTGAACCCTGGCCTTTTATATCCTGCCAGGTTTGAGAAGTTGGACATCACCCCAAAAAGCGCCCAGAAGATTAAGCCGGTTCTGGAACGCTGGATGGCCGAGGCCGAGGCCCGCCACCGGTCCGGCATGCAGAACCTGACCGAGTTTATCGGCAGCGAGCCCTCCAAAAAACGCAAGCGGAGGACCTCTTTCACCCCACAAGCTCTGGAGATCCTCAACAGCCATTTTGAGAAGAACACGCACCCCTCTGGACAGGAAATGACCGAGATAGCCGAGAAACTGAACTATGACCGTGAGGTGGTCCGCGTCTGGTTCTGCAACAAGAGGCAAGCGTTGAAAAACACAATAAAGCGGTTGAAACAGCCCGGTGACCTGGACCTGGACCTTGGCCCGACCGCGCCCATGGACCCTCTGTCTGATTCTCTGGAAGAGCTCCCAAAATGAACAACCAAAACTAGAGGTAAAGAGGAAAGTCCTAACAACATGGTGGATCATGACCTAAAGTGGAATGAAGACTGAAAGAACATTCCTCTCCCTTTATAAAGGCAACTGAAAGGACAGTTATGAAAGTTTGCAAACAAAAATATGTGTTGTCAGTGTGATTACCACAGTTATTTATTTAAATACTTTGGCAAAAACCAAATATAAGAAAAAATGTGTTCATATTTGAGAGAAAAAATTACAAACCTACAGTGTGCTGTTTCAAAGCAATCGAATTCTGGCCTCATTGACCAGAATATTGTCCAAATTTGGGTTCCCATTAGGGAGATTTTAGTAAAGAGATCATACCAAAATCAAAGACAAAAACACTAACTACTTACCAAAGTCTGTTGAATCAGAATACTAAGAATAATTTTTTAAGTGTAAATGTGTTCTACATTTTTACATTTGTACTGGCAAGAAATCTACGATATATGTGTGAGGTTGGGTGTACATTTTCTTTGTTTCACTTAATTTTATCTCCTGGGCTTATATGTAAATATCTACTAAATACCGTCTTCGGATTGAAATCACAATGTCAAAGTTCTCTTTGAAAGTTTTGTTGTGTAAATGCTTTTTTGCTGTGAAACAATGAGATTATGTTGTTTGTCTCAGATTATTTCTCATCTGCAGCTATTTTAAGTCACAGTGTTTTTACAGGTAACAACTTTTACAGGTATTTGTCAATGATTTTATGAGATTGTCTATGTTTTGTTGATGAAGGACAATAAACTAAAGGCTGTCCAGACAATGAGGGGATACTCAGTACCTAACCATAGAGGTTCTGTCTCTGTCCACCAAAATATATACGTTAACCACAACGGAAGACGACGTCTTTTCAAACTTATTTTCCTTTTCCATTCCACAATTCTGACAACTGTGACTTTTTTTTATACATACAGAAACATGCCGTCAATTCTGTTATTTCAGGCCTAGTGTTGTGTCAGGGAGAACTTCCCTGAATGTTATACTGTGTCAAGTGCTACTGTAAGTAATTATGTTGCCAAAGCCTGATAGCCAAAGAAGACATTACTTCAGCTCAAGGACTTGGGGATATTTTACCTTGGCCGATTACGTGTTTTAGTTATTTTGATGTGCTTATAAGTTCCCTTTTGTTCTTTTACACTGAGTTCAACTACTTTACACAAAGGCCAACAGAATGCCAAATAACATTTTTACTTTCGAAAGAGAACTCTTTGTTAGTTGACAGCCCTCTTATATTGTAATATAGAAAATGTGTTGGACTGTGAAGACTTTTCTGCCCGTCACTTTCTGAAGTGTGTATCTAGTTTGTTCTATTTGCTGTAACATAACATAACAGAATTGTTCCTGCATGTTTCCGATAACAAGGTTGGGGTTATAGAAATCTGAAAACAAGACAACAAAACACAAAAGGCAGCCCAAGCTTCAAATCATTAAGTACATTCTTCAGAGTACAGTGTCACCGAGAACAAATTACACGTGTAAAGGATTTAGCAATTATCTCAAATGTTTCTACCCTTAGAGCAAAATATGGATTACTTTCTTTTAGCATTCAGCAACTCCTTCTAATCTAATCAATCGGAAGGTTTTCTCATCTCTGAATCATTGTCTTCAGGGGTCAAATAATGTTTGTAAAATGTCATGCTGTTGTTTTGTGTTCGTTTTCATTGTCATTTGTTTTGAGTGATTCTATAGTGAAGCCTTGACAGAAAGTATAGCCTAATTAAAAAAGTGTATTGGAAAAAGTTGTGTGAGATGCTAGACAACCCAATAGCCCGTCCACAAGACATAATCCATATTAATTTCAACTAACAAATCATACGGTGTTGTTGCTGTGTAGCTGTTAATATACAGATCTAAACAGGGTGTCATCATAACGTCGAGCTCACACCCCATAGCTGTACTTCAATATTACCAGGACCCACATGGAGGATTCAAGTAATCTATATTGTTACACCGTTAATGTGTCAATAACCTATACTGCTAATGTGTTGAACTTCTCCACAGAATATTGCAAACTAGTACATATGTGTAAAATCACTTCTCAGAACTCTTTATGATTTCACATTGATGTGAAATGTTCTTATTTGATTCATATAAAACACTTAAATATGGTGAAGGGAGAATGGTGAGTGTTACATGACAGGCTGAGTGAACTTAGATTTTCTGCTATGTTTTCGCATTTGTGTGTTTTGTTCAATGTCTGTTAGTCCCCCTGTGCACGGTTGTTGCCTAGCAGCATAAAGTGCACTTGGTAACACTTACAAACGCATAAGGAAATAGATCTTCATTGATATAGTAGTCTGAACTGTATGTTCCAGTAGGCTGAGGTTTAAGAGGCACTATACATAGAAGCTCCCTGATGCGTTCATTACATTTATTATTTACCTTTACAGGAAGTAGTGTTAAACAGTGTCATACTATACTTTTCTAGATATTTAAAGTCAGTATTACTAAATGGTGGTCAATCATAATATACTTTAAGTCATATGTGATTTGAATCAATACAAATACTTTTGTGTGTTCCCTCCCTGTCTCACCCCACCTCATCCCAACATGTAAGAGAAGTGATGATACTGCGGCTGATGTATAGTATGGGCATGTAGTACTGAGGCTTAACAATGAAGCTGTAACCAAAAACATAGAGAAAGAACGGAGTTATACCTTCGCTCAACCTTTCAATGCTGGACCAAAGCTCTATAGTTATATGCACATTGTACAGAGAAATGGGTTCATGTCACTGACAATCTTGAAATACGAAGAGAGTCGATGAGTAGATAAGTTGTAGTTCATTGACATTTTACCTCAGCACTGTCCTCGTACACTGAGCAATGCCATGCAAGAGCCATAATAGAAGAAAATACTGAAAAATGGCTCCTGTAAATGTTTGTAAGTAGTGTTCACTTCTCATGGGGGGGGTGTTGTGTCTGAACTGAGATTCTGTATGACATGTTTTACTTTTGTCAAGTGGTTTCCAGGGTCACATGTACAGGACTTTCTAGACTTTGTTGTTACTTGTTTTTTTTTGTTTTTTTTCTCTTTGTGGCTATGTTACATGCACTGCTCAGTTTCAGTCTCCAAGATGTGCCCTATTTCATAAGGGGCAAAGAAGGCTTTATGATCGTACCCAATTATATAAAAAAAATTAAGATAATCATAATTTAAATAAATGTTTTCAAATTATATCCACACAGACTCACACACCAACTGGTTTGAAATATTGTTAGAACTCAAGAACGACCTAGAAACCAAAGCTGATGAACATACAAAGGTTGCTTTAAATTTTATAGACTGAACTTAATCTATAGAGCAATATCTGTTTGGTCAGTTAAGCGGCACTTTGTGTATTTCTAAAATTCTTCAAGTCTGTCACATTTATTTGTACCATAATTAATAATAAACAATTGTTTGACATGAATGGACTGTCTTGTTTATTATGAAATGTAGAATAAATAATCAGAATCTAAAATATATGTTTAAGGACTTATAAGCACAAAAGGACATTTCAGAGAAATTCTCTGGTAAGAACTGCATATTTCTTGTACAGTATGGTAATGATGAAGAAAGCAATAATGCACCACATACTAACAATATAGACTCTTAGAAAAAAAGGGTTAATTGGGGTTATAACAGTGTACCAACAGACACTGTAAACACAGCAGTTGGAGTAATAAAGGATGGATTGCAGAAAATGCGCTTTTTGAACTCACTGTTTTCCAGTCTCACAAGATCTGTACATATTTTTCTATCCTATTTTACTAATGCATACTTTGCTGTCATTGCAAGTGCATCTCAATTCCATTAAAACACAGACACAGTAAACATGTACATGTATAGTTGGAGCATAAAGTTAACAAACTGTGTTTTTCTCCTTATTTTCTTCCAATATTAGATATCAGCTTAGTTTTTTATTTTACTTGCACAGTGCCATGATTGAGAAAGATGTGTCCACAAAGGCTTTTCCACCTTTCAATACAGAGTTCGCACCTAAAAGCAAACGGACAGGCTGCAAACCTCTGGGGTCAGTAGCAATTCATTTAGATTTCCATAGGGTCAATAGAAAGGAATACATGTCAAGGGTATTTCACATCAATGTTTGATTTTTTTGCCTTAGCAGATAACAATAACGAGACAAGTGTATGAGGGGGAAAAACATTCTTGGGTGAAAGCCTTTTGAAACTAAACTCCAAAGTTTGAAATAGCGTTCCTGTCCATGAAGCCTTTGAAAACTGACTGGCTGGTGAATAGAAAGTAGTAAATAAATGATAATAATAAAAAAACACAGACAACATAAATTATTAACATTAGGCTGAAAACTGATGTTGAAGATGTTTTTTGTCTTCTTTTCAGCTTTTTCCCCTCTTCGTTTCGAAAATACTAGATGTATTTTTAAGTGGTGATGGGTGAGGTATAGCTTGGGCTATTTGATATTCTTTTGTTTTGTATTTGTTCCAGTTTCTTTATTTTTCTATGTACAATATAATTGTGCAGAGACAGCTATTCCGACTCATCTTTTTTCAATATCTTAAAATGTTTATAGTTTGTTGATGGAAAAGTAAACTTCAACTGTAAAAGTTAGTGTCAATAAGTGAATGACCAGTGCACAAAACAACATATCTCACTCTCAACATACAGTATCAACAACACACTACTCTTGTAAGGAGAGGTGTAACCCGATATGTGATGAGGAACCTTAGAAAGAGAATAGAATAGACAAACATTCTTAAAATCCACATTTTTTCAGTTCACCCATTTGCCTCTGGACATTGCCATACTGATACAGATTCACACTCAAACATTCAAAATGGTACAGTCGATATGCTGATATTTTGGTCCACATATCATGGAATATTGCTTTGAATTATAATCAACATAAATTTAGACATAACATGCAACAATTTCAAAGATGTTACTAAGTTACAGTTCATAGAAGGAAATCAGTCAATTGAAATAAATAAATTAGGCAGCCATGGGTGTGCCTGGGAGGGCATGGGGAGCCAGGCCCAGCCAATGAGTTTTTCCCCACAAAATTTATAATATAATTTATTACAGATTACAGATCTGTGGCATTGTGTTGTGTGACAAAACTGCACATTTTAGAGTGGCCTTTTATTGTCCCCAGCACAAGGTGCACCTGTGTAATGATCATGCTGTTTAATCAGCTTCTTGATATGCCACACCTGTCAGGTGGATGGATTATCTTGGCAAAGGAGAAAAACTAATTTACAGGTATGTAAACAAATTTGTGCACACAATTTGAGAGAAATAAGCTTATTGTGCGTATGGAACATTTCTGGGATCTTTTATTTCAGATCATGAAACATGGGACCAACACTTTAAATGTTGCATTTATATTTTTGTTCAGTATAGAATATTCTGTTCTATTAATTGTATTTCTATGGGTGGGATAAGGTTGCTACTAAATTATCATCAATCAATACTGTCAATACTGAAGCTGTTTGACCCTGGATTTTAAACAATATCCATGACCCCTAATAATGATCGGAAACACGTCAGTGTTCTTTGCAGTATATTTAGTTTATTAGGATCACCATTAGCTACTGCAGATGCAGTAGCTACTCTTCCTGGGGTCCACATAAAACGTACAAATACATGACAGTACGGAACAGTTATAGACAAGAACAAGTGCCCTATCTCAATTAAATCAGAGGGGGACATTTATCACTAGTATTGCCATATAACTTTTTTTTTTTTTATGTGTTGTTGGAAAATTAGAAAATTCAATTAGGATTTTGTCTACAGAATGTATATAAAGTATTTCAAATAAGAGAGAAATAAGTCTCTCTGAGTTGATCTATGACGGTCTAAATAGAAAAAAATTATCTCTCCTGACTTGAACAGCTCTCTGCAAACGTCAACCGACAGACTTATAGCACATTCCTGTTCAACTAGACACCAACTGAAATTGTCCTGGAAGAGAAAGAGGGTGAGAAGAAAATATTATGACATGTCGGCGGTCCAAATGGATTATGTTTCAATATCAGTCAGGACACAGAAAGATAAAGGTGGAGGAGGAGGGTGCATGTGTTGGATGCAGATGGTTTTAAATTGCCCCCTTTGTTTTCCATCAGGCATGAGGCATTCACTTTCCTTATCTATCCGACAATGTGCACTGGGCTGATGTTCTCAGTAAACGAACTGTCGGTGTATCCCTCACTACCAGCCCTCTGCTTCCTTGTTTTCACTTCCACCTCAAGGTTGAGATGTTGCTCCTCTCACTGCTCAGCCCCAAGCCGCTGAGGCGTCTCCCACTCTGCTGCTCTGCACACCAGGATGCCTCTGTGGGTACAATTACCAATCCTCATGCAATCCAGGTTGTCCATGCATATGATCCCTTGTTGCTTTTGGTGTTGTTCTGGGGTTTTTCCACCATTATTAGCCATGACACAATTTGAGGCATTTGAAGGTTGAGGAGTTAATAGCCCAGGTTTTTATGGAGATGGCTGGCACCCTGACTGGAGCAGCAGATTGCATTGCCCACAGCCCATTAAAAACTTTCCTTGTCTACACTGACTGTGTGAATGCATCTTCTCACTTTGTGATGCCTTCAGTTTTCCATCAGGACTCAGGACTACGCCCAATGCTCCATGTGTCCCACCACTTCTCCCAGGGAGTTCATTTGACTTTAGTTTCTTTCTCTACCATTCTTGGTTTTGTCGAAATTATAGATTCAATCATTTAGAATGAAATCAACATTGATATTTACCTTACTGTAATGTTCAGAACAATATGTTTAAAAAAAAATGCTTTACCTAATTATTGTTGTCATAGTGAAAATCTATAGATCTGATTAACTCTTCCAGGGTCAATTCCACCGCAAGTTAACTCAATTAGGAATTGGATTTATAAATAGGAGGATTGCCCATGGATTGACTTTCAATTAATGAGTTGAAATGAATGGACCCAAACCGGATCTCTATCCATAGACACTGCTATATTTCATTATACACACCAGCATAGTTATCCTGATCATTGTGGAAAATTGTTGTGCTGTCCATTTCTTTCAGATTCAAATCATTAAAAAAAGGGTAAAAACAAGACGAGTGAGTTTTATTCTAAGTGGAGTGGTACCATTTGAGAGAGTGCTATATATTTTTGTACATGGATCACAGGAGTCTTGAAGGGTCAGAGATCCCTTCTTCGGATGTTTGGTAGTCTGGAAGATAACTGTTCCTCTGATGAGATGTTTGTATGGACAACATCTCTTCATCCGCCTCTCACGCTCTCCCCGAACCACCTATACTATACTTTGAGACAGAGAAACAGAGAGCACACAGCAAAAGGCAGTGAGTGAGAGAGGAGATATGGATAGAGGAGTGAGTGGTATGGTTGGCCGCATCTTTGCTGTCTTGTTAGTGGGGGCCCAGTGAGGACACTTTGGCCTTCTTTATGGGGCCATGATGAGACCCTCCACGCACATCTCAGGAAAATGGCTGGGAGAAATCACAGATGAGAATCACTCAAAAACAGAGAGATGTCAACAGGCCCATAATGATACCTGATGGCCCCAGAAGACTCTTTCCCCTTTTCTCTCTCAGCCTTATACCTTCCAGAGTTGCACTATACTTGAAAACATAATTAGAGGTAAAAACAGAGAGAAGGAAGCTTTACATCCCCTGTTTCTTTTTTTCCCCATCTTTCTTTCACTTTTTGAAAGAGGGAGACGGAGAGAAAAATAGAGGGAGGGAGAGAGAAAGAGAGAACGAGAGAGAGAAGGAGGTGGAGAGTTCCCTCTGAGATGCCAAGGTGCTCCCAGTCCATTGTGCTGCCGGCTGTCAGGTTAAATTAGGGAGTACAGGCTCTGTGAGTGTAAAAAAATCAATATTTGATGGAAGATTGCTCTGCGGAAAATCTGTTTTGATTCCAGGATTAATTCTTGACCAAAAGCTCCAGCAAAATGACATGCCATTAGGCCAAAAATGAACACATTCTGCAGTGGAAATTGGATGGAAATGTGTCAGGTGATTGTTCTGGCTGGTTGTTCTGCTTCTGTGCAGAGGGACTGAAGGTGTGGCTGCTGCTGTGAATGAGGCCCACGGACTGACTCCATTTCCAGAGCAAAGACAACTCCACCGTGGCCTCTGAGTATTCTCAAGGCCATTGTTGTCCAGCTCCTGCAAATGCATTCTTACCTAGGTGAAATGCATTTGTCCACCACATTCTATCTCTCCTGTGTTTTCCATAAAGCATGGCATGAAGAATGGGAATCTTAAAATAAAGCAGGGAGGTTTTGTTCTCTCAACAGCAAGAAGGGGGGAAATGCAATATTGATGAGCAAGTAATATGTTTGTCATCACAAATAACATATTTTCCTCTTTGAAACTTCAACAGGAGATAGCAAAGAGCGTCTGAGCATTGACATTAACAACAGATGTAGTCAAGCTGGACAAAAGATGTTTGCGGATGTATTGTGTAAATAGATCATAAGGTACAAAGCCTCTATTGCCACAACAAGATGGTCTACATTTTATATTGAATATCAGCCCTGTGACATTTACTTGACCAAAATGTGAAGACTTCTTGAAAATAAACATTAATTTGGCCACTATTCAATTACACAAAGCAATCAATCATAATTCCTAAAACAAATTTTAATAGAATGATCAAGGAGGTGAGGTAGGTACTGTAGCTTATGCCAAAGTAAAAGTATTAACATTTCCGGCATCATGAATGAAAAGCTATGGAAGAAAGTTGCCTATTTTCAGAAAATGTTTACTCTGTGTGCAGACCAGCTCCCAGAGGACATTTTGCAATTCTCTTAATGGATAAATATCTGGGCACCAAAACTCTGTAAATAGACAGAAACATTTCTTGCACACAAAGTAGTCAGAAGGTGGAAGGTATTGCCATTATTTTTGTTCTTCCATTGTTCCAGTAATTTCCTGATTAAATATTAACATCCCTCTCTCAGATTCAAGGGGCTTTAATGAATTAGGACTGTCCAGAGTCAGGCAAAGATCCCAAAGAGATGGGCCCAAGTGCTAGAGGCAAGAATAAGAACCTGTCAGTGTCCACGGAGGCTTTAAAGAGAATACTCTGTCTTTCCATTTTCACTAGTGACTAGAAGGTTATCAGATATTTATTTTCCAGATATGAATAGTGTACATTGTATTTGCGATTGGTAGTAGATGGAAAGGTTATTGATAATATCAAGCATTAAAATGCATAAAGTGCTATCAATGATGCAATTCATTTTGATGTAAGCTACAGTACAGGCCTATTTGCATTTCTGTGTAGGCTATCTTGACTTTCAAATATACCTACTCCTTGGATGTTTATGAACTACACCCTCATTAATGTTTTCATATAATTCGTTTTACTTGTTAAAAATGTAGGGGTAGATAGAGTAACCAAATGTAAAATGTCAAACAGTGGTCCAGTTGGCCTTCATATTTTTTAGCAGCTCTGTAGACCTGTATGGGTTTAGCGCCATCTACAGCCTAAATAAAACTCCATCTGGAGACGAGTGTTTAATTTTACTCCACCGCAGTAGATGGCAGAATGTAGCACTAGTCTCTTTGGGTATACATTGCCACACAAATAAGAAAAAACCTCACTGCGCATTGTGATCACGTCATTAACTTTTCTGGCCCACGTGAATTGCAGTCAAACTATGGTGCTAAACGTTCAAGCTTGAAGAAGCAAAAATTCATTTTTAAAGTCCATGATGTCTTGGGTTAAGTCTGTACAGTACAGTGGAGAGGATGTATTTGACGAGGATGCGGATGATATTAATTTACAGGACAAAGAATGGAAGTACAATATGAAGAAACGTGTGAGGGTAAATGCATGGAGAAATGTTTATCAATCATGTTTCCTCCTAGCTAGCTGTGATAGCTAGCTACATGTTCATTTTTCGTCTTTTTTGCTCTTCGTATTTTACATATTGCGTTGGTTTGTTGAACTTGTTCACCATTATTATTTGCCTAATCAGCCAGTAATAGCTAGAATTGTCACTTCTCTCTAGCACAGGGCTGTTCAATGTCGGTCCTGGAGGGCCGAATCACTTCTCGTTTTCATAACTTGCAATTAACTACCAGGTAGAAACAAAAACCCATAAGTGTTTCGTTCCTCCAGGACCGGAATTGAACAGCCCTGCTTCTAGCATCACCCAGCACACAATGTGGGCATTGTAGGCAGTTAATGTAAATACAACTGGCTACATTGTAACCCACAGCACCCTCTCTAGAAACAATGTAACTATGCTGTAATGTGGTGTTCTGTCAGGACGGCTATGTTGATGGCATCGACCATGGAAAAGAAGCATCACTCCAGCTTGGTTTCAACATGGGATACAGGGAAGGAGCTGCAAGCACCATCGCCATTGGGAGGCTAAAAGGAATAATAAGGTAGCTTTCCTTCCATGATGTTACCATATGACTCGGTGTCTTTGTACTGGCTACATTATTGCTGTCCTCTCTGTTGTGCATGACCCATGCCTGTCTCATTCTGTTCTCTCTCCCATTGTCTCTGATTCTGTTGGCCCTTTGTATCTCTCTACACAGTGCTATACAGTGCTGGTGCCAGCTCCAGAGACCAGACACCCCCACCTCAGTGACTGACCTCCTACAACAGGTTGTAAAGCATGAGGACTCTCTCATGGAGGCAATGAGGACGGCTTTGGAGAACCCCATACCCAGCGTCAGTGACGTCTCAGAGAACATGGAGGATCTGGGGGTTGGAGAGGTTGAGTCGGGCTGCTGTGGAGGCGGGGGATGCAGCAAGGGCTCAGACTGCTGCAGGAAAGACAGTGATATGGACCTTGGTCCCATCTTGCCACAAAAGCCCAGTTTGAGCTTCGCACTGCCCACAGACCCCTTTACCATTACAGGGGAAAGTCTTGAGCAGCTTCTACAGTGTTGCATGGACATAGTGTCTGAACTGGGTCTGCCCCAGGAACTGATTTGGCATCTACAGAAGCTGAAGAGTGCAACAGAGTGAATGTTAGCTCAGTTGCTAGGATAATGCCACGGAAGACTGAACTGGTGTGAATTTTTCATTGAATTTGTAACATGATACTGTATGTAATACATTATTTATTATACATTATTTTCTTATATTCCAATTGCATATATGCATTAAATGTTTGAAAATTAAACTATAGGGTAAGTTGGATCCTTATACTATAGTGCCTTTATGCTAAATATTAAAAAGATTGACTTGTAGTCTGCACGTGATGATATGTTGTCTTCATATTATACTTTTTTTTACGATTTTGGCCTCTTACTATGCAAACAATGAGCTAGATAGAAAATGAGTTTCCAATGCATTCCTGTACAGATGTAATGAAATCTAGGCAATACCTTTCTGATACCTTCCCACGGGGGGGGCAGTATGAAAAATGTATGCACTCACTAACTGTAAGTCGCTCTGGATAAGAGCGTCTGCTAAATATCTAAAAATCTAATAATCAGCTGTCTGTTGTTCCCCACTTGATGAATAAATAGTCTACTACTGGTACTGCTCCTGGGTTATCTAGGCTGGGATTGTACAACATTTGTTGTGAGTGATTTCCTTCATAGAATTAGGAATTAGAATACTTAATATGTAATTGAATAGGAACTCTATGGTTTCCTTCACATCCCTAAAACCTTTTCACGCAGCAGATTCGCGGTGGACCAGGATCAGGACCATGCAGGGTAATGGAAAATCGATCGTGTCTCTAGTGCACCTGACGTTGTTCAATCATTCAGCGCTGTCTAATTTCATATTCGATTAAAGTTATGAACGACTCAAAAGCTCCCAGAAGTAATCATAACACCAAAAGATGTTTGGGGTTGTGACCAATGATGTATATATAAACCCTGGATTGCTGATGCTATGTATTGGCTAGTCAGAGGCTTTGAACCACCGGTCGGCCATATTGAGGCGCTTAAGCACTCTGAAATTAAAGTAGGCTCAGTGGCCGTTTTAGCATGTAAATCTTGGTGGCCAAACTCCCCACATTTGTTTTAGATGCATGCCAGCAAAGCCACAACACTAAACAATAGATGAATTGCACTATAACTGTTAGGGCCTACATAAAGCTGTCCCAACAGCAGAGCTTTCTTTACCACTGCTACAACTGGCTATCAGCGGAGCCTTGTCTGGAAGGGAAACAGTTCATTCAGCCTCATTTACTGCCTTTTTTTAAAAACATAGCTGATATGGCTGACTTGCTTAAACAAATGTGGTTTCTACTGACAATTGTGATGGACAAACAATGGCATAAGGGGATGAAGAGCAGATAAGAGGCAATCCATAATTTTGATTAAGACATTAATGAGCGAGCGTGGACAGACGTAGTCTATATAACTAATGGTTCAGCACGTTTTAAATGTACAGCAACAGAATTCAGAACATGGGCTGTTCTTACAGTATTCTCCCTGTACACCAAGTCAGAACAGTAGGCTAAATTATGAGGGGGAAAGGGACCAAATTATTAGGGTGAGGCACATGGGCTACTAACAGCTTACTACACAACATACACTTAGTATTACTTTCTTAGCTACAGTATACACATCTCCCTGGCATATTACATCATTTATGCAGCAGCATACAAGACATTGTTGGACTCACCTTGTTGTGCTCTGCTCATAAGAACAGGAAGGTGGCGCGGCAGTCCTTCTTGTGGGCAAATATTGTCATCAAAATCTGGCATTCTCTGGATTTATGGTGCTTTCACGACAACTGGGAACTCAGAGAAAAATCATGACGTCAGTGATCTTCAGGTCGGAGCTCTAGAAAGAGGCCTGAGTTCCTGACTTGGTATTCCGAGTTGGATGACCATTCAAAACGTATTTTCCCAGTCGGAGCTCGTTTTTTTCTGAGTTCCCAGTTGTTTTGAACTCACTCAAGTCTGATATTTCCCTTGTTCCGAGTTTCCAGTTGTTTTGAATGCGGCAGAAGTCATGCTGGATTGACAGCATGGCCAATGTATTCAACCTTTCAGGCAAATAATAGCCTAAACAAACCATTATAGCTCCGTTATTGTCTTTACATGCTTGTGCCAACATTATCTTAGCCTATATTGTTGAGCATTTGACACTATAGAAAACTCACTGCAATGAAAAACCCAAACTCACCTCTTTGACTAAACTAATTTGATCAACCCCGTCGCAGTGCTGACCTCCTCTGTCCTGCGTTTTGCACAGTGTTGAAACGGCCAGCTGTCTTATTCCCTGTCCTCGAGCTGACGTAATAACTGTGGCGCTCACCGGCGGTGCGTCAAAAGAGTTTCCCCTTTCAAACAGGAAGCACGTCCACACTGAATAAAAATGGTTTTACGGTAAATTAACAAAGATGTAAACAACTCATTCACTCGTGCTGTATTCAATGTTTTCTGGCCCATGGTGTTGCATGTGAATTTTTATCCTTTTAAGCTTGGAAAAGAGACCCTTAAACCCAGACTTGGACCACACACCCACTCCACTGAATAGCAGGCTAGAGATTGCTTTGCAACGCTTGCAGTTAGCCACTGATTCCTTCCAAATCACTCATTGTTACATTTGCGATTTCCAACTTGTTGTGTAATGTTTATGTCCAATGGCTGATGAGCACCGATACATTTTTATCTATAATTTATCTTCATATGACAAGGATTGAAAAGAATTTGCCAGTAGATGGTCGACTTGATTCATGATGATGACTGCTTGTCTAGCTTGCTAGCTAAGATTCTGAAAGTATGATGTTGACATGATCAGTCCAATCAAAGCTACGTTAGATATAACGTGATTTGCTGTCATTTTATCTGTAGCCAATTAACTTGAGCCTTCTTGGATGGGCACTTCTAATGTAACTCTATGGCAGCACCCAAGGGGCCTGAATTTTCGTGCTTTCCCCGTAGATTTTGCGGTGACGTAGTGTCCCCATGAGTGACAGAACACTGAGCCAATCACGGCGCAACTAGAGAACATTACCAACCCCTACACTCTGTATTTTCTGCTGGCTTGCCCCACCACCACCACAGAAAGCACTGAACTAGGCTGAAACACCTGCATTTTGGAGCTGCCTTACTCAAGAAAGCAAAAAAGAGACCATGTTTGTATGCGGCTTTATTAACTCAATTATTATTATGTATTTTTTTTTACATTGTTTGCAAACTGATATATGACACGTATTAATGCCAAAATAACATGCAAAACAGGCAACAAATTTTTTTTGCTAAACGGGTGGCAGGTCGCCCTGAATGACGGGTCGCCACTGAGTAAGCTACTGGAATACCTTGAAAATCGGACATTTTCTCAAGTTGGTAATTGAAAAGTAGCCTACTTGAAGTAACATGAGAGGAGAACAGATAATGATCAAATATGTTTATGAAATAAAATAATGTATTGTCTTGCGAGTTAATTTCCAGGCAGATTACCGAGTTTTATTTCCTCATGTGTTTCGTGCTATGGGTGCCAGGCGTGCTCGCTCATTCCACCCACACTGCCAATCAGCCAGGCAGGTACATAACTGACTGATTAGGCCCTGTCAAACGTCACATCGATAGCTAAAATACCGGGCAAATATTGATTCAATCCGGCCTTCTGGGATCTTTTATTTCAGCTCATGAAACGTGGAAGCAACCCTTTACATGTTGCGTTTTTATATTTTTGTTCAGTATAGTACCCACTTTTTTCTTACCACGACATCACTGGACCAATGCAACCAACACACACTATGTAATGTGCAAAAAATGCGTCAGACTTTGACATTGCGAGCAGGGTGAACCCCCTGAAGAGCCCAAAGGGAGACATGCATCTGCATACCGCATTTGGGTTTTAAAACCGGGGGAAAAAGCACTGCTTTTAGGCTTAACACCTTTTGGAGGGGGCCTTCTAAGAAAAAAAAAAAAGAGAAACCCCGGGGGGCCGATTTTTTGCATTTCCCCAAAATTTTTTCGTACGAACCCCGATTTAAACCCCAAAAAAACCCCCAAAAGGGGGAAAAAAAAATTTTTTTTCAAACTTCATGTTTTTTGGGGGGGAAAAAAAGGGGGGGGAAAAACCCAAAGGGGGGGAAAAAGGGTTTGTGAAAAAAAAAAAAAGAACAAAAAAAAAAAAAAGGGAAAAAAAAAAAACAAAAAAAAAAAAAAAAAAAAAAAAAAAATCCCCTTTTTTTTGGTTTTTTCCTTTTTTTCCCCCCCCAAAACCCCCCCTTTTTTTTTAAAAAAAAAAAACCCCCCTTTTTTTTTCCCCCCCTTCCCTTTTTTTCCCTTTTTGTTTTTCCCCTTTTTTTTTTTCCCCCCCCCCCCTTTGTTTTTTTTTTTTTTTCCCTTTTCGGTTTTTTTTTTTTTCATTTTTTTTTAAAAATTTTTTTTTTAATTTTTTTATTCCCTTTTTTTAAAATCACTGGCCAAAATGCAACCAAAACCCATTGATTCAAAAATCTCAATTTTCTTCACGGGTGGAAACCCCTGGGGGAATGAAGGGGGAAAACACCCCTGACCCTCCGGGGGGAATAAAAAACATTTTAAACGGAAGGTGAATTAAGGTAAATGTTATTTCCCATACGAAAAAATGGTCATCCTTTCCCTTTAAAATAATAATACTTAATTTTTTATAATAATATGAAACACTGATGTTTGTTGAAAATGAATTTTTTTCCCGGGTTTGGCAATACGCCATCAGTGGCGTCTTTTCTTATCCAAAACCCAAATGAGGTTAAAAATGGTTTAGACCCGTTGTGCCCAGTCCCGGAAAAAGGGTCCTTTTAAATTTTAATTTTTCAAGGAAAATTATGTTTTTTGGGGGAATTAAGTTTTAAAAAAATGTTCTTTTTTTTTTTTTTTTTTTTTTTTTTTTTTTTGGGGTTTTTTTTTTAAATTTTTTTTTTTTGGGGGTTGGGGGGGGGTTTGTTGTTTTTTTTTTTTTTGGGGGGGGGGGGTTTTTTTGGTTTTTTTTTTTTTTTTTTTTTTTTTTTTTTTTTTTTTGTTTTTTTTTTTTTTTTTTTTTTTTTTTTTTTTTTTTTTGGGGTTTTGGGTTGGGTTTTTGTTGGGTTTTTTTTGTTTTTTGTTTTTTTTTTTTTTTTTTGTTGTGTCGCTCTGGAAAAGGGGCCCCCAAAATGATGTGGTTCGGTTTTTCTGCATTGTGAAAAAAAGGAGTCCGCTCATACAAAAACCTTGATCTAATTTTCTAAAAACCCGCTTTAAGTTTTACGGTGTAAAGATCACCCAGAGAAAACGCCCCGTTGCAAGGGGCTGCCTACCCCCCCTCTTTTCCCAGCATTCTTATAAAAATCAAAAAATGGGTTTGCCCCCTTTGCGTCAATCACCTGTTCCCTGGGGCGTCACCTAAGATGGTTCTTTGAACTAAATCATTCCCCCGGGCCCCATTAGAAAGTCAAAATTTAAAATACACTACATATCCCCCCTTCAGACAAC